AAAGAGGTCTCAGGTCTGTTCTAAAGCCAGATCTACACATTGGCAAGTACATGTTAGTGCTGGAAAACTCTGGTATAGGTCTGAGTAAATAATGCTTGTGGTTCACCTTGTGGTTTGTCTCTCTTGAGAGGCTGGACTGAGGAGTTAATTCTAACTAACTAACTAGAAAAAAATTGCTTCAGCTAGAAATGATAACTGCATTCTTATGGGACAATTGCTCTCAGTTCTTTCTATTCATGTGGCATGGAATACAGCAAGCTCACCTAATGCTGCTTTACTGCTGTGGTTTGGGGCTTGGTTTGGGAGTTTGTTTGTTTCGTTGGTTTGTTTTTAACCAATCTGCCCCACAAAAGAGAAAACCTAGCACCATTGTTCTATCACTAATGAATCTGAAAAGCACATATCTGCCCAGTGTAGTGTAGTACATTTGTTGTTTTCTGAATTCAGGATACTACTAAGAGTCTGAGAGGTGTAGGAAGTGTTCCTTGGCCCTAGAATTTCCAGAAATAAATAAATAGATAGATAAATCAATCAGTTAGATAGATAAATCAATCAGTAGGCAGGTATTATGTGAATACATATGAGAAAGAATATAAATTATTCTTGTCCAATTTAATAATAATAATAAATTTGTTCATATTCTTTTTTTTTGATTGTGATAGTATGTACATTACTTATACAGAATGAATTACATCCTTTGATTACATTTTCTCTTGAAGGTCAATCATTAAAATGGAATAATCACTAATTTAAAGATTCATTTGATTTGAGAAAGAATAGGATACATGCTGATCGTATTTGACATATTGGAGTTACTTGTAAATCTTTTAAATATGTATTTATTCACAAATCACTGATTCACTCCACAGTAAGAAGGAGTGATCTCTCTTCATTTCATTTCGAGATCTGAGTTTCATGTCTTGGCCAGAAAACAGGTTTTACTGGAATGGAGCAGGGAACACCATGAAATGATTATTTGTTGGGATGGAAATATCATACCAAAACAATTCTTAGCTTTGGAGTTTTAAAAAAAACCTGAAAAATGCTTAATAAGCAAGCAGATGACTAATTCTACGATATAGAATAGGAAAGTGGATAATGTTCTACTAAAATTTGACAATACTGAGGATAAAATACTCCTTTTTTTTTCCTTTTTTTTTCCCCTGAAGAATAAATTAGGCACAGCAAAAATAGCTAGTCAGTGTGCTGCGATTTCTCCTCTAAATACTTGGATTTTCTAATAATTATTTTACAGGCCTAAGGTGAAGGTGAGGTAAGATTACAGCAGTGAGCTTTTACTCTGAACTGAAGGGTTCATCCCCAGGTGCTGCTGCCGTGCTGCTGTCCCTGTGGGTTCATCCCCAGGTGCTGCTGTCCCTGTGGTTCATCCCCGGGTGCTGCTGTCCCTGTGGGTTCATCCCCAGGTGCTGCTGTGGTGCTGTCCCTGTGGTTCATCCCCAGGAGCTGCTGTCCCTGTGGTTCATCCCCAGCTGCTGCTGTCCCTGTGGTTCATCCCCAGGTGCTGCTGCCATGGTGCTGTCCCTGTGGGTTCATCCCCAGGTGCTGCTGTCCCTGTGGTTCATCCCCAGGTGCTGCTGTCCCTGTGGGTTCATCCCCAGGTGCTGCTGTGGTGCTGTCCCTGTGGGTTCATCCCCAGGTGCTGCTGTCCCTGTGGTTCATCCCCAGGTGCTGCTGTCCCTGTGGTTCATCCCCAGGAGCTGCTGTCCCTGTGGGTTCATCCCCAGGAGCTGCTGTCCCTGTGGTTCATCCCCAGGTGCTGCTGTGCTGCTGTCCCTGTGGTTCATCCCCAGGTGCTGCTGTCCCTGTGGGTTCATCCCCAGGTGCTGCTGTCCCTGTGGGTTCATCCCCGGGTGCTGCTGTCCCTGTGGGTTCATCCCTGGGTGCTGCTGTCCCTGTGGTTCATCCCCAGGAGCTGCTGTCCCTGTGGGTTCATCCCCAGGTGCTGCTGCCCTGGTGCTGTCCCTGTGGGTTGTTCTCTGCAATCATTGCTGTGTCTGCCCTGGCTCGTGGGGAAATTTCAGTTCTGCACTGACTAAATAGGAAGACAGGAAGTTCATCAGTAGCCCAGCTCCCCACTTGATCCTAGCACGAGGACCACCAAGAAAGAAAATTTATGGAAAGATTGTGCCCATACAGCCAAAGTTTCCAACTCTGTGCATTTTAGACCTGGCCTAGTTATATCTCCAACACGTGTTTTCTATCACGAGCCTTACAAACTAGTATCAGAGCTTTTTCAGCTGAAACAGGAACTGAACTAAACTAATGCTTTAAAGCTCAGGAAACCAAATTATCAAGGATATAAATATCATTGAAAATTGCCTGCAGATGGTTTAGCCTGACACTTTATTGGTGTTTGTGCTAGGCCAAATTAGAGCAGCATAGGCAGTGTATTATGTCTATTAAGTAGTGTATTAATTTTTTTTTTTCCTGTCACAATGAATGTTGCTGGAAATGATACTCATAATGATTGGATCCATATTAGAACATAAATAAATGGATAAATCACGTGCTATTTTTGTCTTCTAAAAGAAGAATCACTTTAATGAATAGCTCTTAAAAAAGATATACTATTATAATACATAAAATTTTTGCTAAGCCAAAGTTGCAACTATAGGCTAATACTGTAGTTGAAACTGAACCAATTTGACCTTGAAAATAATGCATTTTGCAGCTTTATACACTTTTAGTTTATGCTTACAAATAAATAAATGCTAGTTGGAATTTATATGGAAAATACATATTTTTTAGAGTCCTATTTAGGTTGGAGAAGAACTTTCAGGTCATTGAGTTCAACTGTTAACCCAGCAATGCACTTTTAAATATCTCCAGGGATAGTGACTCCACCAGTTCCCTGAGCAGCCTGTTCCAGGGCTTGACAACTCTTTCAGTGAATGATTTTTTCTTAGCATCCAGTCTAAAATTTGTTTGGATTGGAATTCACTCTTCATTAATATAAGATTTCAAAATAAAGTTGATTTTTCTCTGCTTTCAATTTCATTTATTGGCATGGAATCATTTTAGAAGTTTATTAGAAATGTTAATTTTGGTTCCACGTTTGAATTAATGGCTTTAGTTGCAGAAAATGCAAAAATAATCAGTATCAAAAAAATCAAGGAAAAAATGCTGTTAAACAGAATGATATAAAATGTAAAATACGTAAGCATGAGGTAGTAGGAGACTGTTTGAAATCCTTTTAAGGTTAGTAATTGTTGCAAACCACAAAGATGGTTCTCCTATTTTGACAAGCATATTTTCTTTATGTTTTCAGACAGTTGTTGTCTCTGTCATAAATATGGAGATTTTTGTCAGAATATTTGCTTTTCTTATACCTGTATTGTGTGACATGGGTAGCCTTTTTATTTTGTTTCTTTTTCTGTATAATGGGGATTCAAATTCCTTGTTAATTTTAGGAAGAAATACTTGCTAATATTTGTAAAACTTTGGAATAAAAACGGGATAAAGAATTATTATTTCAGCATCTGAACCCCATCATTATCTACTTACATGTTCAAGTCTCTTAATCAGTTAACAGGACACATTTCTGGCCATCCATGTAACTTTTTGTAACTGTGTCATAGTTATTTATTTCTCCCAGTGCTGCCTTTCAGCATTTTAAGAGTGCAGAAATTTCAGTTGTGTAGTGAGCCTTGCCTGATTCCTCACAAGTGCTGAGACCTGGAGGTAGAGTCTGTGCTCTTCTGACAAGTGTCAGCAGAGACACATGTGGAGAATGGAGGAATCCATTCTTCTAACAGTCACCCTGCTGTGATAACAAGAGTGAACAGCTTTATGCAAGAGGTTTCCAGGCTGATCCTGACAGGTGCATCATTTCTTGGTGGGAAATGATTGTTATTCCAAGGAACAGACTATATGAAGTCATTGTTCCCCAAAGTAACAAAGTCTATGCCTCCATGTTATAGAACAGGGCATGTGTAGGGTGTAAGCTTCACATTAATACACTGAATTCATGCACAAAGTTTTCTACTTGCTGCTTAAAAACTCTGTTCTCTGGAATAAAAAAAAATTGGATCAAATTTGCATATATAAGAGCTTCTGTCCAGTTGCTCTAAATTACCTGCTGTGATAATGCCTTTAAGTGCTGTTCTAAAAACAAAAATAAATAATCATTCAGGCTTTCATAGTAAAGCATGTTTTAAACTTAAAGCACTTACTGGTTTTTTCACTTTTCTTTTGAAAAACAAGTTTCATTTAGTTCTCTATTTTTTTCTTGCACTGTCTAGAAATTATCTTCTCACATAGTGCTTTTCAACAAGATGTTAATTTTTTTTCCTATTCAGTAGGTTTGGAATTCCTACAAGGAAGTGTGTTACCTATACCTGGGTATTACAGAAAAGAAATGTGGAAATCAGCTCGAGAGAAAGCCTGGGATCCCAGAGAGAAATAGGGAGAGTTAAACTATCCATAGCTTTATTCATGTGTTCATATTTTGTGTAAGATATCCTTTCCTGTAGCCTTGGATGTAACGTAACTTGACGCTAACCCCTTTGAAATTACGCCTATTGTAACATTTTTAGGTTGTAAAGCTCACAAACATTCCCAGTTTGACCAATGTTGCCAAGACATACCAAATGTTAGCTCTAAATTCCTGTCATTTTGTCAGTCTCGGTGTTTTTGGCCCCAGCACAAGCCACTAACTCAAGCCAGCTCCAACACAATACTGGAATTGTGTGTTTGAAAGGAAAACCATGCTTGGAGGCAATGGGTGTAATTTAAGTTCACAGAAGAAAAGCATATATTTTGTGTAGTTGTTTGTATAGCCAAATAAACAATTGTACCATGGGGTGGTGGGAGGGGGAACAAAAATGAAACATTTCTGTAAGCCTGTGGATCTATGGCTACAACTTCCCCATCCTTCTACTAATGCTAAATAATGCTGAAGAAGAAGGGAAGATTTAAAAGAGAGGGTCTTGGACTATTCTTGTCATGGAAAATGTTGAATTTAATTGATAAAGAGTTCTTGCTTATGTAGTAGAAGAATAAAAAACAGAATGCAGTTTTGCCTTTTTTCTGGTTTTTAGAGTTGATTTTTAATCCCTTTTGAATGCATTTTTTTTGTATACACTAAAATTTACAGTGCTCAGTGATACCTCAGAAGATGAGCAGAACTTGAATGTGAAGATACTGATTTTGCTGAATCTGTTTGAAAAATATATTTCAGAAGCAAAGAAATACCATTGAACAAGACATTGGTGGTGAGTATTAGAGACCAATTTCTTGTAAACTTTTGTAGCTTAAAAATGATTTGTTGAATTTCTACTTTTCTCTTCAAGATTTACTGTGAAAGTAATTGTTTGACATAGTGTCAAGAAGAAATTCTTTTCTATTAACTGAAGGTTTCCACATTTATTTGCAAAAGTCTGCAGAAACTATTACTGTCATTCCTTAAAATATGCTTTAAAAAACCAAAACCAAACAGCATCCCAAGCTCATAGTAATTGGTTTATAAAACCTAAGAACTTTAAGGACATGTCTGCTTCCTGTAATTCTCTATTTTGTACAATATACTTCATTGTAAAAGGACTATAAATATATATCTACATATATATGTATTAAAATGTCAGTAATTCTGTATTGCTGATGTCTGTATCTTATTTAAAGTTGCAGTATAACCCCCAGGGTAGTGCAGGCTTTTGTGTCCTCCACACCAAAGTGTACCTGAGACAGAGTGAGGGTAATACTGGGGGTTGGTTGGGGGTCACTTTATCCTGAGCCCCCCTCTGGAACAGCCTGTGGCCAGCCCTTCCCTGTGGCTTCCCAATGCAAGGTGAGCTGAGTAGGAGCTCTGGAATCTTCCCTTGTGTGTTTTTTTAGTGTTGGGTGGTTTTTCAGTGCTCATAGGAAGGCTGGAGAAGGTTACTCAGTCCTCTCACAGACGGTGAAGGAAAATATTCTCCTTGCTTAGGGTTTCCTGTTGCCTGTGGTAGCAGAGTCATCATCACCAATGGTGCATTTTTCTCCTCCCTCTTCATTTCAATCCTCTCTCCTGTTGTGGTGAAGCTCAGGGAAGGAGCTGAGAGTATCTTTGTGATAAAGCAATCCCTCTGTGGGTGCATGAAGCAGCTCCAAGCCTGCACCCAGTGCACACAAGGTGCCCTTTGCAGAGCAGGAATTCCAGTTTGCCCTGCTGGAATGCCAGGCCAGTGTGACTTTGCTGCTTCTGCTGTTGGGGGAAATTACTCAGCTATGTACTGAGCTGAGTATTGAGGGAAAGAAATAGGCTTTCTTACCATTTCCATTATCATGCATGATTTACATCCGTGCAGTTGCTAAAATACTCAAAGAGAATAAATACGCAAAGTTTCAGGAACACGGTAAGGAAAATGCAAAGAATCAAATCTCCACACCCTGGAACAATAACACATGGATTTGATGCACTTTTTAATGTGGCTGAACACTTCAGCTCTTCTGCACTGATAATTTTTCTCCAAGTAGTTGTACAAAAGCACATCTCCTCCAAAAAGGTATTTTGTAGTCTCTCACTGGAAGATTGTTTTTGTTCTGTATTTTAGGGCCATAATTCCCATTGTCATAATTCCTATTTGATAAGATTTATTAGTGATATATATATAAGTTTTTACCATCTCACAAAACTCTTAAAAATCCTAATCATCTGAGAGAATGATTATGATAGGAAGGACTGGTTTTTGTTACTAGTTATTGTTCTGTCAAAAGCTAATGATTATTATGTAATTACAGCTATTTCAATATTGAGGAGCATTTCTTCCCCTAATCATAAGATATTTGAACTTATTTTTACTGTATATGCATTATATCTATTAAAGTGATAGTAAAAGCTAAAAATACTTTTATTCTTTTTCTTAGCCACACTTCTGCCCTTCCCTGCAGATGCTGTGCAGTTATGTTTCTCTGTTGAATCCATAACATGTTTAACTGCATATTTTCTGAAAATTTAGAAATTTCAGAGAATTGAATTAAACTTTGCATTGATATGTGTCAGATCATGGCAGAAGAGCACTTACTGTATTTTCTTAGACAAATTTATTGAAAAAGGATCTGTTGTCAAGATCTGAACATCAACTTCAATTAAATGTTAAATAGATAAATAGAATTCCTGAGTAATATGTAGATTTTCTCTGAGATGGATATTGTTTTGAGGGAAAAAAAATAAACTTAGACACAAAAAAATACCACATGAAGATTTAGTCATTCTCAGATACCATGAGCTTCATTCACTCTATTTGAGGACTGCAAGCATGGATCTTTTTCATATCTTGTTCCTTTCATTGCTGGTAGTGTGGAAGTGGCCTCCAAGAAATTTGAAGTAACTAAGTGCATGACTAAGCAAGAGGATGGATAAAAAAGGGACTTTATAGTCAAGACATCTAACAATAAGTCTTAGAGATGATATGACAATATGAAAAGTGATAAAATAGAGTTAATGTTCTGATATCATTTATTATAGTTATCCTGCTGTTCTTACAGTAAAGTACAGTAAAGTACTGTCCTCTGAAGTCTGCTCTGAAGTTGACAGTTCACTGAGTGATTTGTTCAAGAGTCTACAAAATGCTTTGGATCTCTAGAGTAGCATCCAAGCTGTCCAATATTAGGTCTTTCAACAGGGTAAGTGATGGAAGGTTTATCCTGTGTTTTCCATTCTCCAAACCTCTTCTGAGTTATCCCAGCAGCCTAGAAGTTGCAACATGAAGCATCATTGCATATCCTAGAGTACTTATCCTAATTATTAAATGCATAACCTTGCTATTTGTCAGCTGTGTAATTTGCTTTGAAAAGATATGCTGTCAAGATTATTTGTTTTTATTCAAATTCCTTCTAGAGTCATGTTAGGCAGCCTCAGTGCTTTTTGTGCAGGACTGGGAAAGAGCCTCATTTTTGACTTAGCAGCATGTTTTAATCACAGCAGCAGAGACTCTGGCCCTCTGGGCTTACTTAGATATTGTGAAAGAGTGCAATTTTAAATCATGTCAGCTAATTTCTGTAACAGAAATTTTAAATACTGCTTTAAAACCCACATACACAAAGATGAAGGTACTTAGTTTAGTCTAGGGGAATTATCATCTTTGCTCATACTTCACTCTTTTGCAGTAGCTTTGAATTTAAATAGTTTTTCATTGCACAAACTGTAAAGAACAACTTGCTATTTAAATACTAATAATTGTCCAGGCTGACTTGGACCCATCATACACACAGTAGAGAAAATACATTAATTAGTATATTTTTTTTACTTAAAATGATTTCTGACTATGCATATATGTTTTCAGTATAGCTTGGAACACCTCTATTTCCACATTGGGAAAACTTACTAATTTATGCACGCAATTATTATACAATAGTGTTCTTTATTTCAGAGTTAATTCCAGCCCTGATACTTTCTTTGATGTACATTCTAGTTCTTAGAGTGCTCAGTTTCCAGTAGGCTGAGTACCTGAAAAGTAAGCTTTCTTTATTATTTATTTACCTCTCCCTTTTTTTTTTTTTTTTTTTAAACATACACTAGGAGCCTTTTAATCTGTCCAAACGCTGCGGAAGATTATCAGGACAAAAGTGAAACCTTAAACGAAATTGCTAATGCTGTTTTGTAATGTTTCCTCTCTAGTTTTTGATTCACAAGATGACAGTGCAGTAATTGGAAGGCTCAAAGGAGCAGTGGAAGCCCTGCATGCGCTGCCCTCAGCCGAGAGGGGAATGCAAAGATGACTGCGAGGCATGAAAGGAAGTTTGCCTACACAAGAGCCTTCTCCCAGTGTAAATACATGCTTGATAGTGCATCAAAGATGAGATCTTTGTAATTCCTACAGTATATTTAATGTATAATTTATAGGAAAAGGACGCTTGATTTGTAGTTGTAAAGTTTTGTATACTTTTCAGTCTGTTTGTTTTTATATTTCCCCCCTAAGGCTAAGAATATCTCCACAATGGACAACGCCTTGTAAATAATTAATACCTACATGATTGAACGACGTGCTTTATTTGCATTTTTAAGATTTTTTCCTACATAAAACAGTAATAAAAATGCAAGTCAAAATTTTAATTTTTAATAAAAAAACCATAAGCCTTAGAAAACTGATTAAAAATACTTTTATGTTATCCCTAATCACCCCGTTAAATGGAATGCCTGTGATTAGCCTCATTAAGAATTTTATACTGTGAAGATTTTATTAAAAGCAATATATGAAAATTACTTGGATTAATGTGTTAATCTGCCTCTTTAAAATGCTAATATCCATTTTATGCACATTAAATCTCAGTATGTGTTTTCTTTGATGCATGCAGTTCCTATCAATTAAATATAAAAAATTAGGCTAGTTGCAGGACTTATTAAATTACTGCACCCTTTTTTTAAATAACTTTTACCCTTCTACTAACATTATAATCAGCTGTTTATGGTTACCATAATTTGAAGTAGGGGGAGGGCAGGCACAATCATTTTCTGTGCAGGAGATGATTTGCTTGCAGCCAACATCTGTCAAAGCACAAAAAGAAGCCATAGACTGTCGGATTTTGCTTCACCTACTTTGGGCTTTAGGGATGGGCAACTGTTTTCATTTGGGTTTTGTCACTTTTAGAACTTACATCAAACATATACAATAAATTGTTGTATCTGAATAACTACTGTCTAGTGTGGAAAGTTAATTTTACAGCTTTTAACCAATCTCAGTGAAGGGTTTAATTGATATTTTTAATGGAGCTGTGAATCAATGCTGCAAAAGGATTGTCTCTTGAGAACGAGGATATAATACATTTCATTTTTTAATTTACTTTTTTATTTGTCATTTTCTTCAAAGGATTTTATAGACTGTGGATTTCCACTGTTTGCAAACAGGCTATGTTTCTTCATAAGCATATGTAAAGTATTCAGAGAGATAAGTAATTTATTAAAATCTACCTAATTTGCCGTGATATATTAAATCTCTGCTTCAGTGATCACAGACCATTTCATTTAGAGAATTAGGCATTCCCTCTTTGTGTGATTAAAGCTCTGGAAAATGAGTTCTTTGCTCCTATTTGTGAACATTCAAAGCCTGCTAATGGCAAGAAGATGGAATAGATTATGAGACAATTCATTACAGTTCAACAGAAAAAAACCCCTGCTATAATGCAGAAATGCAAGTATGAATATCTGCATATAGTTTGAACCATCTGTGCTCTAATGCCTTCAGTAATGGCTCTTCGTCTTCAGTAGGCTTTGAAATGACATCCATACAATATTAATTTGTTGATGTACATTATGAGGCCAGTGGAATGAATATACTCTTACCACAGAAATCTCTGAATTCCAGCATGTCTGCTGGTTGACTCCATTTTAGGGCTTACCATCTTCAGGAGGGCTTCTCATCCAGGCTTTGCCAATGCTCACAGCGTTTCATTCCTCTGGAACTTTAGGAGACCACAGACAGCTGCATTCCTAAACCCCTCCATTCCTCAGTTAATGGCCATATGTTTGTTGTCGTTTGGGCTGGCACTTAGTTCATCATTTTGGCCACTCTTTCTAGCTTTTTTTGGCTCTGTGCATCCATATTGTCAATAAGACTGTTATTATACATTACAATAATTTGAAACAGCCAGATTCAACACTGAGATTAACTGAGTGGCTTTTTAGAAATTTAGTTGTGGTATTCTGTCAGGAGGTTCTTATTATTCTTCTAATACTTTGCAAACCAAACTAAATATCCTGCACATAAACAAAGAAGCAAATTGTATTGAGTTTTGTGTGTGACTGTTTACTGACTTGCAGGAGAACTATGTTAACTGGTGCTTGTTTTCTTCTGAAATAAACCATGTGGTAAAATTAGAAAATCAGCGATGTTCATCTCACTTAAACATTTACAGTAACACCCTTAACACTTAATCTTCGCCATCTGAAGTTGGAAAGTTAGAAACCAAGAGTTCATATATTCATTAAACACAGATCTCTTCAGTAAGTTACTGCAAAATATTCCAGTTGACATTTGGTTACATTGTGTTAACTGCTCTCAGTGACTCCAACATTAACATCTATAATTTGCCTCAGGTTCCTAGACATATTTCTTCATAAGGCTCACTGTTACTCAGTTTCAGATTTTAAGAAAATAATCCTGATTTCTATTCATGTTTATTGCTAAAACAGATATAATATTCAGCAAGGATTTTCCCAGCAGATGGATTGTATTATTTTATGCAACATAAACATATGATCATACCAGAAAGTTTTGTTCTTGCATTAAGTAGTCTGTATTTCCAAAATGCTCTTAAATCTTAATTCTAAATGCTACACTGTGCAGGGAAAGTGGAAGATGTAACCCAGCACTATTTTGTCTAGAGTTTAGCAATGAATAGCTTGAAGAAAACATGCATGTATGTAATCTCTAAGCTAAGGTACAAAGGAGCCATATTAAAGCTGGGTACTACCATGCTTTAAAATGTTACTCAATAACATTCATTTTTGTGGAATAGATGAATTTTTACTTTGGTGTAACTTGGTCACCACAGTGGTTCTGCACAGGATGAAATGACAGTGTCAAATGATCAGTTTTGTTATTATATCTTTTCCCATTTATTGTTACAGCTTATAGCTTTATTGTGATAACTTCTGGTGTCATTTGATAACTGCTCTTCTCCAGGTTCCCAGGAATGTCAATCAAGATGGAATTTTTTTTTAGCTGAAATAAACTTTATCTGTTTTAAATGTTGTTTTTAACCTTTTATAACCTTAACCTAGGAACAGAAGTTGTAAGAATAAATACATCATGAACCAGGTAACAGCTCTGTGAAGTCCATCAGTCTTGCTGTAGAGTAAGTCAAAGCTTATCTCATTATATAAGAGTAGATATAACATAACAAAATTTATTACTTGTTTTCTATATCAATATTAAAGTTAACAGTAAAAGTTTTAAAATGCTTCTTATTAGTTCAAGGCATTATGAGACATTATCATAGTTCAAGAAGTCTCCAAACATATCAAGACTAAATATTAGCTGCTAAATATAATTTTTTTGTTTTGTGTTGGAACTGAGAAATAGTAAAATGCAGGTTTAAAAGTGTGCTACAAACCATATTTCAAATTTCAGAGCCAGAGAAGTACTACATGTTTTAATTACAGGCACAGTGACTTATCCATCCTTTTTTTGAGATACTGCAAAAGATAATAAATATTTTTATACAATTTCACCCATGTTACTGTTTATGTTATAGCTTTTAGCAATTAGACTAGATCCTGCAAGTGATACTGGAAGAAATGGTATGAAATTAATTGCAGAATATGAGTTCAGGTTAGTACCTTAGTATGCACATGATAAGAATTTGCTTTTGGCACAGTAAGCCCAATGTGTACTGCTTTTTGCTTTTTGTTTCTTTTTGGTATTTATGACAAATTTAAATTCTTTTTCTATCTTTTGAAATGGGACGAGGCAACTTCTGAGGAGCTTGAATCATGCATGTGTGGGTTTTAGAAGCATTTTAAAAGATTTTTCTTATTTTTAAGGTCCTTGCTGAATCATACTTCAAGCTTTCAGCATCTGGCAGCATCAAAGTCTAACTCCTAGGAAAATTTCATCTCCAACAAGAGCTGCTTGTAAATGATCAGGCACCAGCTGAGGATGTTTTGTCTGTGGAAATAAGCAATTACAAACCTCTAAACAGAAATGCCTATGGGTCTCAGTAGCAGTAGTTCTGTCACAATGTTATGTCAGGATAGGATCATTCAGGCTCAGGGGACCTCAGGGGGTCTCTATTCCAGGCTCTGCAGGGTTGGGGGTCTCCAGTCTGGGCTCAGGGAGCAGTTTCTGTCTGGGTGCCCTTTCCTGAGCTGGTTTCCAGGCCAGGCTGGAGGCAGCAATGGGGTCTAACATCACCCACTGACCACTGCTGGTGTCAAAATATGGCTTACTTCAGTAATCCAGTATCTGCAACTGTGCTAGACAGGTCTTGAGCATGATCTGGCAATGATTTGTTTGTGGATTCGGAAAATAATCTATTTCCTAGTTAGACAAAATGTCATCCTTGTTGCATGCAAAATAATTTCCTACATATTCAAGCAGCAAGAACTGAAGTGTCATTGAAAAACTTTTGGAAAAAATGAGGTCTTTCTATTACTACAACAACAACAACAACAACAAAATCAATAAACTGAAGTTTCTTTTTCTTGAAAAACTGTTATCAACCAGGGATTATTCTGATTACCTACTCATAAGTATAAACAGCTACAGTAGCTGATAGTCTTTGCCTTCAATGATAATGAAAAGCAGAAGATGTTCTACCATATACAGGGCAATTTTCCCAGAGAAATGAAAGAAGGAGACACCAATCAGCATCTGATTCCAAACATGAAGTGCACAAACAATAAAGAGAACACAGCAAACTTAGGAAAACATCAGAAAATCTTTAGAGAAAATCCACATTTTGAAAATATTCCTCAACCTTTCCTCTGTAATAAGCAGTTATTTTAGTATACCAAAATCAGACCCATTTGGAACCTTTCCAGTTGGTATTGTCAGTGGTATAATTTACATCTTGGATGAAATGCACAAAAATGGATCTATTTATAAAACAGAACCAGTTGTGCATCACAATGCAGTAGATATAACCTCAGCAACAATATATATTGGCAGGCCTATCTATAGTTAAGGCAAACAAGTCAGTGTAACTTGTCATTTATTTTAGAATGGAATTTACAGTGATTGACTCAAAGTCTGCAGTAACAGAGCTTTTTGCAGACATTTGTGAAAGTTCTGTGGGATTATATTTCCACCCACAACATCAGATATGACAGGGGCCTGTACCAGGGCCCTGTGCAGCTCTCTGTGGATCCTACAGCAGTGTTATGGGCAGCCCTGACTGCTGGAGCTTGGTGGATCTCTCCTTTCAATCTTCTCTTTTTTGGGCTGGCCTGTTTAGGAGGAGCACAGAATTTGGCTGCTGGGAAGCCTGTAAGTGTGAGACAGGCTGTTCCTGCATTTTCATCCTTCTCTGAAGGACAGTCTCCCTACAGCAGGGAAGTGGGAGGCAGATTTTCCACCAATGGTGAGTTTTGTTTCAAAATCAACAGAAGGGTCCTGGGGAAAGTTCATACTTCAATCTTCAAGACAAGAACTTCCTAGATGCTACAAATCAAAATGCTTTTTGTGTTACTTCTGCAGTAAGTGGGAAGTCCAAATTCTACCAGGCCCATAACCCTAATTCTTGCACTTGGTTCATTGTAAATTTTTGGTGAATTTTGGCAAGTTGCAGTGGTGACAGAAAAAAAACTGAGCACAGAAAGATGTAGGGAAAAGAGGTTAAGCTCTAAGAATTAGTTTATAGTTCAGAGGGCAGCAGATTGACTCGACAATCCAACAGAATTTTTTCCTCCTAACAGAAACAATGCTTGAAAAGGTACCAAATAAAAGCATGTGTGATGCTGCTGAGAGAAAGGCTTTTATTCAAATAAGAGTTGAAATTATTGAGGCATTTACTGAAAGCTTCCCTCCATCTTTATTCTTGCCATGTAAGAAATGTGGTTTTACAATTAATGAAGGAAGAAACATAACTGCTTGTGACTGTTGTGCTGTATTTCACTAATGCCTACACATCAGTGCCCATCATCTGGGAGAAAGCACTGGAAATTCTTTCATAACATTTCCCACCTC